CATACTTACTGGGTTATAAGCATAGAATGCTATTCCAAATCTTCTCAAGCATGGAAAAAGTTCTCTCTCTATATCCCTGAAAATAAGTTGTAGTTCTACCTTGAAACACGCATTAAAATACCTCTAAAATAACTGGAAAGAAAAATATGGTTTGAACTTAACAATTGACCCAACACCAAGGGCTGTAAACATCAGTAGTCAACAAACAAGTAAGTAAGTAAGTAAGTAAGTAAAAAACCCTTATTCAAACACGATAAGTATTGAAGCTGACATTTTATTGATTTGTTAAGAAGTAGATTCCAAGCTTCCTTTTATTGGTTTGGTAATAGATCACAGATGACATCAAAGTTTGGTTGGAACAAAAACGTAGCACACAAGGTGCGACTGATTATGCCATTGATGTTTCTACCACATTTTGACCACTTCTGTTATCTATTACTGTACCAACCCATGGCAACATGGAATCTTTTGTTTATATGATAAACAAGCAGATTTTTGCTAATGGTGTCATCATCATGTGTCGTCCTCCCATAGATCATAAGCAAGAACCAATCAAAATGTGTGTGCAATTTAGCTTATCAAATAACACGTGACATTTAATAGCGTTGTTTGCACACATTGGAATCTATTTTTTTAGTTCTCTGGGCACCTCAGTTGCAATAGGCCTTTTGCAGTTTGAGATCACGTGCTTAGATACCGCATAGCAACGCCATACTGGAGAGCAAGCACTCCCGTGATCTCAGACAAAATAGAGATCACAGAGGTCTGCATTCAAACAAAGAATACAGTGGAAAACAAGTTAAAGGGTATCCCAATTTGAGAAATCTTGTAAGTTTTAATCAACAGCTTCCTTGGAGTGTATCAGCGAAAAACAAATTTTGGTGTGATTTTGCTGCTGATACACTGCGGGGAAGCTGTTGATTACTTCTTACTGGATTTCTCGCATTGGGATACCTTTTGACCTGTTATCTGCTGTATTCTTTGTTTAAATGCAGACCTCTGTGACCTCTATACTGTCTGAGATCACTGGAGTGCTTGCTCTCCAGTATGGCGTTGCTATGCGTTATCTAAGCACGTGATCTCTAGCTGCAAAAGGCATATTGAACCCCTGGAATTTCAGCCAAGTGTCCACTTTATTCTGTCATTCTTATTATCTCCTATAATCTTTATTACCCCTCACCTTGTAACAGGATTGTACATCCCTTGATACACAGTTGGTACTGGGTAGTTGTTCATCTTGCACAGGTAATAAATTTCTGCCTAGATAATTAGATCAGGTAAGGTAAGGCTGATGGCTCATTTAAATATGCTACTTAAACCCTTAAACTCCCAAGATCCAATTGTTAATTCTCCTATCTAGCTGCTACACATTTTCTTCTAAATTAGTTACGAGAATTTGGTGTTCGTTCAATGTAGCAACTTCTCCCTGTTAAGCTTGAATTTTCTCATTACCTGTTTGCTGGATAATGTAAAATATAAAAAAAACTCTTACCACTTGCCAGGATGAATAATTTGAGAGACCAAAGGATTCAAATTTGCCTTCTGTTAAAAGAGGAGAAATATAAACTATGTTACATAGGATTTACTGGAAAATTATAGGAAGCTCAGCTCAGACCCTTACATGAAACTACCATAACATTAAAAAAAAAAACCATTAGATAAATCATCATTGTTACCTTGCAAATATTCAGAGCTATAGATTTAAACCCCCTGGATATCAGAAAATATTCACAATCAAAACTCGGACACCAGTGTCTAAAAAATGGACACTTGTGTCTACAAACTCAGACACCAGTGTCTAAAATCAGACACTACTCATCTATAACTCAAAACACCAGTATTTATAATAGGACTCTAGTGTTTAAATTTGGACACTAATACCTAAAACTCAGAGACTAGAGTCTAAAATTGGACACTAGCATATTAAACTCAGACACTTGTATGACTTCCCAGAACCAGGGAAAGTTTTCAAATTATACAGCATACAGTGAGAGAAATAGCTGCAAATTGATGGATTTCATTCCCTCCAATAAAAAATAGCAGCACCTACCACTATTAATCCCACATTTTGGTCAGTATAACCACAGTCCCTTGGTACAAATATTCAATGTGGTTACTGTAATAAAAAGTCCCCTAATTAATTACCTTCATAAAGTTGATTGACAGCGTCAAGTGTCTCCTCAATGGGTGTGGTATGTTCTGGCGCATGGAGGTAAAATAAGTCCACAGAGTCTCTCTTCAGTCTTTTAAGAGATTCATTCAGCTGTTCCAAAACACTGTCAAATACCAGGCCTAACAAGATGATCAAATATCTTCATTATTTATGGCACGAGCCATCCATGAGGTGTTCAATAACTTTGTGTTGCATAAGCATATTTTAAAGATTAACCCTTTCAGAGTGACCAGCATCTAATTTCTCCTTACAGATATGGTGCTTAATCATTCATTAAGATTATGAGAATAAAGGAAATGATCACTAACTTAGGAATCTTTGATCGTTAAAAAGGAATTCACCTTGTCAGTACTAAAGGAAATGTCTAGAGAAGAGGGTCAAGGTAAAGAATCTGATCCTACCAACACATCAGTCAACACTTCAGCCAACGTGTCAGTAGTGTGTCAGCTGATGAATTGGCTGACACGTTGGTCGATCTTACCAAGGCCTCGGTAGTGTGTTGGCCAACACATAGGTAGTGTGTCAGTGATGTGTCAGTAGTGTGTCAGCCGACGCATTGGCAGACGGGTCAGTAGGATCTGATTCTTTACCTTTACTGAGAAAAGTGCAGAGAAAATGGATGCTGATGTTATGGTACAAAGGTTAAAATCAATGATTTGATATCCAGTGGATAAGCAATGATGACCAGTGAGAATTACCTTTTCCCCAAGGATTTGCCTTTGTGGCAATAAACACCTATTAAATGAAAACAACATATTAAGTTCATTTTGTATCACATAAGACAACTAGCTTTACCCACTGTTTAACAAAACCTTGTTCTAAACTATCTCCATTTTAGCTGAATCTTTTATCTGAACATTTATTTTTGTGAACAGTGTCAAGAGGGCCAAAAAATAACACTTGAAGGACATTTATTCAATCAGGTCAACCCAGTAATAGAGAATACCTGAGGCCCATTGCCTGGGTAAAACCACGGTTCGGGTTAGACCTCTTTTAAATAAATAAAGGCTGATAGTTTCGAAAGAAACTGTTTGGGGCTGCGTCGGTGGGAGTAACGAAATAATTTGGATATATAACCAGCTGGATATATAACCAGCTGGATATATATTTGGATATATAACCATATATAACCAGCCCTAGATGTTGAAATGTTTTTATCCATTCTATAATGTTCAATATTTATACCTTGGAATCCTTCAGACAGTCCATATCTCCCATAATTTCTTCACTCTTGCCACCACTGTACCTAAAAATCAAGGAAACAACTACTGTTTATATTCATATGGAAGGGGTTTTGTTTGTTTGAACAAAAATGTGGGACAAAGTATATACTGGTAGAACCCTACTAACTCAGACCAGTTAACTTGAACCCCCCACTCCCCCCCTACAAGATCTGATTTTCCTTGGATTTCAACCCATTTTTCCAGTCATTTACTACCAGCTAATCATTTAATCAACCATTTAATGAACATTCCTAAAACTTGCTATGACTTACCCATAAGCAGTGTCAAAATCATAGACATCATGTTCCATACAGATGTTTATAAACTGCTTGGCCTGAAATTGCAAAAAATAATTGTATTAGTAGATAAAAAAAAAATCAAGATAAACACATCTCTTTTATCAGGATATTCTCTAACGAGAATCCACACCTGAGCTTTTGACAAGGGGCCTATAAGAATTTTATTAGAGAACAGGGGTTGATCTGAGAATTTTTTATAGGGGAAGCAGGATTCCATTTTTTTTTTAGATTCAGAAAACAGAAAAACAATTTTTCTTAACGCAAATTATCTCAACTCGTGTTTTAATAAAAAAAAATTTTATCAGATGTGGGCTCCAGCGAAACGGGTGGCTAGTTATTTATTATCTTTGACCACACCTGATCTGCAGCACATTGCCTTCCAAACTCCATACACCCAATTGATGTTTTGACCGGAACTGTAGCCATCTGAAAAAATGAAAGACAAATAATAATAATTATCACATGCTGTGTGGCAATATTTCTGATGGTAGGGTTAGGAAGGTACTTACAGAACACCGCCCCACCTTTGTCTTCAGAACCACTTCCCTTGTTGATGAGTCGGTGTACTTTTAATAACGAGGTCTCTAGCTTGTCATGATTGTTCTTCGGTGACATGGAAACGAATGGTGAGGATTTAAGGGTTTTACACTAAGGTTCCTTTTAAATCGTCGAGAAGTTTTTGCGCTGTATCTGTAAGGTCAACGAATAGCGCAAATTGTCGCGCACGAAAAACATGGCGGATCACCCACCTAAACATCTAGAACCGTCTCAGGCGCAACTTCTGTGATCAAAGCCAAGAGACATACTGTATAATTGGACAGAGGGATCCAACACGTACCTTTGTAAGATGACGTGAAAGTAGTCTACATGTTGTTAAGGAACTGAGCCGAAAACCAACTCGACACAACATTGCGTGACAACAATTTTCAGAAAGCGTGATAAAAGCGTCACGACAGGGAAGAAAAGTATCAGAAACTCGTTACCAGGCCTTTTCGATTTCAAGTTGAAGCAGAAAGAGAGCTCAAAAGGTTCATTCTCTAAGTATTTTAGCTGTTTTGATTCCTCCAATCCGCGAAATTTGAATCGTAAAACTACTGTCAACTTCAGATTTATTCTCAGAAAATTCCAATTATAAACAAATTTGAGTTATTTAACATTTTTAGAGCGATTTATAAAAATGGCCTCTGCTTCTGTGAAGACGTCGATTGGATGCATGGAATTTGGACGGCAATGCTCTTTCGATCAGGTATAGGATGACTAAGCTCGTAAGCCTTTACTTGTCTTTTTACTTTGAATGTAAGACAAATAGACGTTCTCAGGAGCTACCTAATGAATAGTCATTTAAATCATTTGCTTACAGTCCAAAGAGTTTGTAAAAATTTGTATGGAAAATGATGTGTACGATTTCGACACAGCTTACATGTAAGTGTACTTCTTTCACTTTATTTTATTTTCTTCCGGAAAAATTTAAATTATGTACTGGTAGTTTGTTTCCAAAGATCTGATTGTTAATTGTCCCTTCTAACTGCTACACGTACTTGAATAAGTTGCGAGAATTTGGTGATAACTTTAAGTATTCTCTTTACCTGTTGGCTGGATGTTGTAAGGATATCTTAGAGAGCAGTTGAATGTGAATCACCTCTTGGAATTATAGGGTTAAGGGCATTCATATCTTGAATGAAAGTTGTATTTTTGTTTCTGAAGGTTTTTTTGATCAGGTTGCACTGGCCTCAGGTGGAAAAAGTTGTGGAAATTTCTGCATTAAAATTATAGTTTTGTTACCCTTTCTCTCACAGGACTGATAGACATGTTACTTCTCATCACAATGTGATAACAATAACACGTTTAAGGAGATGAGTTATGAGGAAATATGACATGTTTGAATTAGGGTATAATGTTTTCATCTAACTTCAGTTAGAATTTATTAGCATGTCACTAAAATATAGCTCATAATGAAAATTGATTCATCCTCTTCAAATTACAGGTATGCTGGAGGAAAGAGTGAAGAATTTATGGGAGAAATGGACATTCTCAAAGATCCTAAGGTCTGCGATTTTATTATTTGCTGAACATTTGGCTTTTGTTGTCTTTCCTTTTGGTCAGTGTTTGGTGTATTTGGTTGAGGTTCTAAGAAAGATGACCATCATCAATTTTTGATAATAATTTTTCTGATAGAATTAAGTCATTTAAGGCGCATGGCTCACAGGGCATTTTAAGAAGGAAGCAAGTTAGAGTACTGCTTTTCTATCTAGGATGTAAGTCTGTCACAGTAAAACACATTCTACAATACCATCTAGCATGAGGAAGGTATATGTAAACCTATCCCCTCTCCAAATGAGTAGCAACACTTCCTTCCTTATTTATTATTTATTTATTCCTTTCTTGATTTTCTTGTGGACCATTATTCACTTTTGGATAGAATGGAATAAGCTTTTGAGTCAAGGTTATTTCTTATTGGCCCAATGCCTTGACTAAAGCTACAGGCTCAAACTCGGACCTGCTGATCTGGGATTAAGAACTGATACTCTGATTATCCCCCTCTCTCATCTCTGTCAAGCCAATTATTTTTTAGCTCACATGTAAGCAACTGTGTTATCCTTGGGTGAGTCCTTTATCTTTGATTCATCAGGTATTTCTTGCCACAAAGGCTAATCCATGGAGTGATAAAGGTCTGTTTCAGTTATTGATTTACAAGTTTGCATGTACAATATCTCTGTCCCTTGCATTTCCATGAGACAAAACTAACTTACCCTAAAAAAATTATTACCATTTAAATGTTAAACTGTTTGTCTGAAGAATACTGGCCATAGTCTGTCAATAAAAAATGGAGAAATTTGGAACCCAGGCCAATGTTCTCCCAATTTAACATACTGGGTATGTCCACTTGAAATGTGGTCTGCTTGTCATAGGATTTAGTATATATGTCTGATGTTAAATCTAAATGATAATTTTCTATTTCATTAGGTTTGAAGTATGACAAAGTCATTGAGCAGATGAATGAATCTCTTAAAAGACTGAAAAGAGACTCTGTGGACTTATTTTACCTCCATGCACCAGATCATAACACACCCATAGAGGAGACACTTGAAGCTGTCAATCAACTTTACAAAGGTAATTAAGGCTAATGGTTGCCTTCAACCAATCAGATGAGATTCCTGGTTGTTCATGTGTTAAATCACATGTCACTGTGTTCTGCATTGTCTAGTTACTTTTTTTTATTTAAAGTTACTTCTTTATTAAAAATTTCAGAGGGGAAATTCAAAACTTTTGGTCTTTCCAATTATGCATCATGGGAAGTGGTAAGTGACATTTGTTACAGTCAATCAGTTTTTTTTTTTTCAGTTTAATATCTTAATGCACTATTTTTTTTCAAGGTAGCGTAGTATTTTAACCTTAGATGGTGACAGTTTTATAGTTTTTGAAGTATAAAAATGCACTATTTTTTTTTCAAGGTAGCGTAGTATTTTAACCTTAGATGGTGACAGTTTCATAGTTTTTGAAGTATAAAAAAGTTCAGGAGTTTGGTTGACATGGGTTTATTGACTCTTTACACCTTAACATCAGTATGCATTTTCTCCGTACTACTCTCTATACCTTACCTAAGGTGCTAACAAGGAGAATATGAGAGCTTTGTTGGTTGGTGATCATTTCCTCACTTCTCGTTACCTCAATGTGCGATTCAAGGGTGATATTGAAGGGAGAATTTAGATGCTAGTCACTCTTAAGGCTCATGGGGTGTATGTGTTGACTTACTTTCCAATTGACATAGTCATGTTTTACATTTTATGGACAGTTGCTGTATGGAGTATTAAAAAAAATTCAGACTTATGAAAATACATTCACAAGGATGATAACGGCACCATTATTGTATATCTCTTTTAATGACAACCATTACAGGACCTATTACAGACATTATCAGAAGTGTTTTAACCAGTATGGTGTCTCTTTAAGGCAGAGATTTATTACCTGTGTAAGTTGAACAACTATCCATTACCAACTGTGTATCAAGGGATGTATAATTCTGTTACAAGGTAAGACGATCGGAAGGAAGTAAAGATGACACTTTCACATGTCAGACGTGTTACCCTCAACTCCCTGTCTACTATTTTTCACGTGGTTCTGTTCACTTTTTTCCTTTTCAGGGATGTTGAAAGAGAACTTTTTCCGTGCCTTAGAAGATTTGGAATGGCTTTCTATGCTTACAACCCGGTGGGTAGTTCTTTCCCATGCTTGAGGAGTTCCAGCACTTTCATACCTCTCCCAAAAATTCACTCAGCATTTCTTTGCGTTTCAGCTCGCAGGTGGACTATTGACAGGAAAACATCGATATGAAGACAGAGAGAAAGGAACCATTCAGTATGGTCGTTATGGAGGTACGGGCCCGTGGGCTGACGTGTGAGTATGCACCGAAGATTATCCGAAATGTTATCAAGAACTGCTTTTTTTTTCGGGGCTCCCCTCCTGGAGAAGTCTGGTTTGATTTTTCGTTGAAGAACCAATTATATCCAAGGATTCCCGAAGACTTCCGATGACGACTTATAGAGATCCGAAACAACTCTTGAACATTAAGATAAACTAAATGAAGCGTTGTAATAACTAAATTTTTTTCAGTAAGGGCAAGAAATTGATTTGAGACTGCGAGCTGCGGTGAGGTCAAAGTTTTTGGTTCGCAGGAAGCAGACTCGCGCCTAAGAGTAGCCTGAAGTAGCGATGAAGACTTGGATCAATATCAGCAACTGAACGACTATGCACCTACCCCTCTCCTCCCCTCCCCTAACCCAACAACGATCAACTGATAACAAGTTAAGGCCAGAGCCCTTACTTTGGGTCAGGGAGATACTGACTTTGATCCGTGATCTCTTGCGTTTATCAGACAAACGGACGTGAGTGCAATGTGAGGGAGAAAAGCCTTCCTCCTTCAACGCGCGTTTTGTAATCCGTGCTCGCCTCGCAGTTGCCTTTTCTGCAGGCTAGCTTTAGAACAGTTCTGAGACTTGACAGAGGTTTACGGCCAAGTCGCCCGGAAGTCATCTCGCCCAAAGTCATGTCGCCTCGGAACCTGAGTCATGTCGTAAGTGCTGATAGTTTCTAAAGAAACTGTTTGGCGCTGCGTCGGTGGGGGGTAACGAAATAATTTGAATATATCAACAAAGTTGAAATGGTAAATTGGCCACCGTTACGGTTATAAAAGCTGACGTTTCGAGCGTTAGCCCTTCGTCGGAGCGCAAGGGCTAACGCTCGAAACATCAGCTTTTATAACCGTAACGGTGGCCAATTTACCATTTCAACTTTGTTGATATATTCAAATTATTTCGTTACCCCCCACCGACGCAGCGCCAAACAGTTTCTTTAGAAACTATCAGCACTTACGACATGACTCAGGTTCCGAGGCGACATGACTTTGGGCGAGATGACTTCCGGGCGACTTGGCCGTAAACCTCTGTCAAGTCTCAGAACTGTTCTAAAGCTAGCCTGCAGAAAAGGCAACTGCGAGGCGAGCACGGATTACAAAACGCGCGTTGAAGGAGGAAGGCTTTTCTCCCTCACATTGCACTCACGTCCGTTTGTCTGATAAACGCAAGAGATCACGGATCAAAGTCAGTATCTCCCTGACCCAAAGTAAGGGCTCTGGCCTTAACTTGTTATCAGTTGATCGTTGTTGGGTTAGGGGAGGGGAGGAGAGGGGTAGGTGCATAGTCGTTCAGTTGCTGATATTGATCCAAGTCTTCATCGCTACTTCAGGCTACTCTTAGGCGCGAGTCTGCTTCCTGCGAACCAAAAACTTTGACCTCACCGCAGCTCGCAGTCTCAAATCAATTTCTTGCCCTTACTGAAAAAAATTTAGTTATTACAACGCTTCATTTAGTTTATCTTAATGTTCAAGAGTTGTTTCGGATCTCTATAAGTCGTCATCGGAAGTCTTCGGGAATCCTTGGATATAATTGGTTCTTCAACGAAAAATCAAACCAGACTTCTCCAGGAGGGGAGCCCCGAAAAAAAAAGCAGTTCTTGATAACATTTCGGATAATCTTCGGTGCATACTCACACGTCAGCCCACGGGCCCGTACCTCCATAACGACCATACTGAATGGTTCCTTTCTCTCTGTCTTCNCCACCGTTACGGTTATAAAAGCTGACGTTTCGAGCGTTAGCCCTTCGTCGGAGCGCAAGGGCTAACGCTCGAAACATCAGCTTTTATAACCGTAACGGTGGCCAATTTACCACTTCAACTTTGTTGATATATTCAAATTATTTCATGTCGTAAGTATTTGTTTCTTCGGGCGACTTGGCTTTTCATTTCCGGGCGACTTGGCTTTTCATTTCCGGGCGACTTGGCTTTTCATTTCCGGGCGACTTGGCTTTTCATTTCCGGGCGACTTGGCTTTTCATTTCCGGGCGACTTGGCTTTTCATTTCCGGGCGACTTGGCTTTTCATTTCCGGGCGACTTGGCTTTTCATTTCCGGGCGACTTGGCTTTTCATTTCCGGGCGACTTGGCTTTTCATTTCCGGGCGACTTGGCTTTTCATTTCCGGGCGACTTGGCTTTTCATTTCCGGGCGACTTGGCTTTTCATTTCCGGGCGACTTGGCTTTTCATTTCCGGGCGACTTGGCTTTTCATTTCCGGGCGACTTGGCTTTTCATTTCCGGGCGACTTGGCTTTTCATTTCCGGGCGACTTGGCTTTTCATTTCCGGGCGACTTGACTGGTTACCCGGACAGGTGTAGGTAGGTGTCTCCTGGCGTAATATTTCTTAGCTTGGTACTGTTATCTCTCAGGGTGTGATCACTTGTATTCTGTTTTTGGGAGGGATACTCCGTTCTCGCAGTGCCTTTTTTACTCCAGGGGTATGTTGGGAATTGCCTCCAAGATTGAACCAACACACTCACATAAATCGCAATTTCTTCTTGTTTATTATCAATAACCGAACGCTAACAACGAAATCAACAACAACTCCCCTCGCTGCCACTGTTGCAAAGTCTCCTCTCCGCTCACGTGTTTTGCTACATCTTTTATCACTGTCAATCATTGGTTTTGGGTGTGTCATTTGACACTTTCTCAAGTCACATTGTTTATGATCAAACATAGCGAAAATCACGTTAAGGGTAACAAACGACTAATGATCACAATATTACGCACGATTTCCGACAGGTATGAATTGGGGGAATAGGAGAAATCTGACAAAACTGCCACATGGACGCCCTGGGCGGATTACTAACCAATCAAGCAACGTATTTCACCGCTTGAAAAGGATTTCAGAATTAAGGGAAGGCGCTATAGATAGCTTTGCGTCGAAAGCTACTGAAATCAAATTTGTCCCTTCACCAGTGCATTTTCTTTTCAGCTACATAAAGCGTTTTTGGAAGAAGCCTTTCTTTGATTTACTTGACAAACTCAGAACAACACTGGATCGTATTTATGGTGAAGGAAAAGTGACTTTAATTGACGCATCTCTCAGATGGATGTATCATCACTCCAAGATGGACGGTGCCTACGGAGGTACATTGTTGCATTTTCGGTCGAAGCACTCTGACATTGTTCGCATTCCTTACGCATTGGAATGTCTCAATGTAAAGTTTAGAAATGTAGTGCTAGTGTATTTCGAAGTAAAACACATCTTGTTGATTCTAGGCAGCTTGTTTAGTTTTTATTTTTCCTAGGTTGTGGAAAATTTTTATTGAAGCATTGGGTAACTTTCCGAGGCCTACACCCGATCGTTGTCGATCGCAATCCCGCGAACGCTTCCGAACTAGTCAACCTGTTTCGTAGTTGTCTTGGAAAAGAATGATAAGTAGCTCTTTGTTCCTCACATGGTGTAGAAATGCTATTATTTTACCTCTTTGCAAAGCGAGAGCCTTTTTCATTTTCAGATGCTGTTATTATTGGTGCCTCGTCTGTGAAACATTTGGAGGAAAATCTTAAGAGTGCAAAGCATGGTCCCTTACATGAAGGTGTGATTGAAGACCCTGAATGATACTTACAAGTTTATTTTTCACTATTATGTCTTCCAGAAATTTTCAATTTAGTGTCGAACGTAATCCTTTACTTTTGATCCAGAAAAATCGCACGCATCTCTCATCCAATCAGATCGAAAAAAAAGTCCATTACGACTTGATCGCCAACGTTTTCCCGCGCTTTAGGCAGTTTGGTTGTTTTCCCGCGCTTTAGGCAGTTTGGTTATTTTCCCGCGCTTTAGGCAGTTTGGTTGTTTTCCCGCGCTTTAGGCAGTTTGGTTGTTTTCCCGCGCTTTGGGCAGTTTGGTTGCTTTTACTTTGAGGTCACATTGGCTGTTAAAATTATTTTGCTTTCTTCTTATTGTTCGTTGTGATCACTTTGGTTTTGGCTTTACGACACTCAATCGAAAAGCGTTCTAACTTGGCTAAGTGTTTGGATTAAGATTCGAATTCACTGTTCCTGAAAAGGCCGCAGTCTACATCAATGTAGATGACTAACGGTGTGCGTAAACTCAATGGATCTTAGATTTACATATGGATACTTCATTGTGCAAGGCGCTTTAGCTCTGGAAGTATACTACTGAGGATACTAGAAACTTCCTTGGAACTTTTACTCCTAAACGCTTCTCTTGCTTTTCCTTCATTTAGATGTGGTCGCATTATTCGAAGAGGCCTGGGGCCAAATTAAAGGCGACTGTCCTTACTATTTCCGCTGAAGTAATCAACTGAGGGCTCACCGAGGAAGAGTTCCTTCAAATGAACGTTATGGCGATAGACTCTGGTCTTAAAATAGGATTGGGAAGAAATAGGTTTTCTTAGATCAAAACCAACTTAACTCTAATGCATAGGGAAGATATATCGCTGTTCTCGACCGCTCTCTTTTTAGCCCAAATGTCACGGGCATGGTCGAAGAAAGATGAAAACTGTCTTTGATTGAATAAAAATCTTTCAGGTTACTTGTCAATAATTGTAAGAATTTTTTCTTCTTTGCACGAATTCAAAGGTTTGATTGACTTCACGTGTCTAACCGAAAACAAGCTCTCTTTGGGGTGGGGTCTTCCTTCTTGCCAATAACCAGCAAGAGAGGTTTCTTATCTCAAAGTGCTTCTGCAATCGATTTTTATTTTAAAGGAATTCGTAAACCCTCAGCTGCTTTAACCGTCGCACAGACAGTCATATAAGCCTCGTGAGAAGTCTCGTGAACCAGTTGGTACCAGTTAATACTGAGGTTGAATCGATTATTAAAAATTCTGGCACATGGGAATATTAGTAATAAAATCAGGAATTTCGGCATTGTTGAAAGTGAAAAAAATCAGTTTATCAAATCAATAGGGTGAACACCTTTTAAGTCATTGTTCGTCAAACATGTTACAATACTTTACAGTTGTGAGGATTTCGGGTTTAGTAAGAGACTTAATAAAAAACATTTTGCTCAAATTAACTGTCTCAGACTTACACCTTTTGCTGATTTGTTTAGTCTTGATTTCAATTATATGCCGGAGATGCTACTGTGAAATTATTTGAGATGTTTATCATCTATTGTAGTGTCACACCAAGAACTGAATAAATTACATCTACGGATCTACTGGGATAATTTATTGATTCAAACGGTAAAATGTTCTTTCTTCAATGCCATAGATGACTCTCGTGCAATACCTGAAAACATCTTAATTCTTGAGAAACGAATGAAAATAAGACACTGCTGGATACTGCTTCAAACCACTAAGGCCTGGGTCTCGACAAGCTCAATTTTAACGAGCACACTTTGGCTCGATATCTTGCAGCCTCGGTGAAAGGTTTTGTCTGATCTCCATTTCCTTTTAGTCAAATCGGAAAAAATGATGAGCTAAGCGAGATTAATGCGAAGGTCTGGGGCTCTCTGAGAGAACAGAATAATTGAGAAGAGAGGAAAAGGAAGGGAGGTGAAGGGGAAAAAAGACGACTTGGGCTCTCATCTTCGGCTACCCCTGCATGACTGATAAAAAAAAACATGCTTCCCATTTAAAAGATTTCTGGCTTTTATTCACTTAATGAGTGATCAAAAGAAAAAAAAAGTCCCACCACTTCTCTCACTGGTGACAATTACTTGCACGAGTTTCTGGTAGTCATCCCGCTAAAATTGCCTTTCAATATATTTAAAACTACCCTGGACATCTTTATCCACTCAGACATAAGGCGAGAATCTTTTTGAAAGAGAGATTTTACTTTTACTCCTCAAAGCGAAGGCTTTAAAGTACAAAGCTTTACAGCTTATAGTTTTGTCTTGGAAATTTGATTTCTTCATATTCCCTTTCAGGTCCCATTTATGCCAGCCATGACATTCCTTTCTGGAAACTTCTCTTGAGGAGCCTTCAGTTGGTCACGTCAGCGGAAATAATCAGGACAGTCGGATTTAATTTGGCCCCAGGCCTCTTCGAATACTTTGACCACATCTACAGAAAGAAATACAGAAGTATCAACTAAATAGTCCCTGGAATGAATACTTAACGCTGCAAACATTCATCCTTTAGACCGTAACATCAATTTCCACATTCTCCATACTCTTCTGAGTTCTCTATATACAATTCCTTTGGTACTGACGAGGAGAATTCGTTTAACAATCAAAGCTTTTCAGTTTGGCAAACATTTCCTTTATTTTCATGATCTTAATGAATGATTCAGCAGTATGGTCACTCTTAGGTTTTGAACGGTTAAGAAAGCTTTGAGATGGTATATTTTTAGAAATCCATCTTAATGATTTCNTCGTTGTTGTGTCCTTTGATGAGGCAGTAGTTTTGTTCGGCGCCAAAAACGAAGCGAACCAATCAGACACAGCCATTAAACTAACGTGATATTTCGCTATCAAACTGACATCTCCACACTAAAATTAAGAACGAAGACTTTAAAACTGAAAATCCAAACATTAGTCCAAACATTTACCAAAGTCGACAAAGTATAAAATAATTTCATTTCAAAAAGTCAGTCTACATTGTAACAATTCATACCCTCATGTAGGGGCCCGTGTTTTGTACTCTTCAGATTTTCCTCCAAGTGTTTCGCAGACGAAGCTCCAACAATTACAGCATCTGCAACAGCAAAAAAAAAAAAAAAAATTTTTTTTCTACAGATATCTTTTCCTGTACAATGTTCCCGAATGAACTTAACTCGTGAGTTTTGAGTAATCTTTACGGAAACACTACATCCGCTGAGAGTGAGCGCGCAGTTTTTGTTTGGTTCCCAATTATCGCAATTATCCCTAGAACGTACCTAATCCTTCAAAACAAATATTTTGAAGGATCTTGAGCGGTAATAATTCGTGAACTCTCATTCATCAAAATTAATTCGAAACGACTTCTCGAGTATTGTGGCACATTTTGCGGGCTAGAACGGATATTTTGGCAGAATAAAATGCTAGCACGCTTGCGTGATTGTTTAGAGGGTTTTGTTGTCACCTACCTCCATAAGCGCCATCCATCTTCGAGTGGTGGTACATCCATCTGAGGGACGCGTCTACCAAGGAAACTTTTCCTTTACCATAAATATGATCCAGTGTTGTTCTGAGTTTGTCAAGTAAATCAAACAACGGCTTTTTCCAATAGCGCTTCAGGTAACTGAAAAGAAATTACAGCCAAAAGTTAAAAAGAGGAAACAGCAAACTAGCGGGAAAGATTTTTAGTTTAAAGCAAACCGGATTGGTTCAGCAATGCCCGGTATCTACACAACCCAAACAATTCTTATCCTAGCAAATCGAATGTACCTAGCCATGGTCGGTTAGGTTTTCCCGGGAATTTGACGGTACCCATTTATGTGATTGTGGGGAGAGGGGCACTGTAACAGTGTCTAGACCAAGATCTCAATACAGTAGTCTCCTTCGCAGCCGCTCGGGCCGGAGTCACGCAACGCTCCCCGTGCCCACGCGTGGAGACGGGGAACGTTGCGTGACTCCAGCCCGAGCGGCTGCGAAGGAGACTATCAACACTTAACCCACACCTTGATGCTTCGGTCGCAGGCCGAAACTAAGAGAGAGCTTATCATGTGTATTTTTTTTCTTAGGGCAAGGAAGAAGACATGAGAACATTGCAGAATTGAAAGGACTGTTGACTGTCGCAAGAGCTAGAAAATATTCGGGAAAAATGCGTTATTTCTAAAACAAAAAACTCACGCATCGGTCCAAATGCCTGGGTTAGCATAGCGGCCATCCTGAATCTTGCCTTTTTCTCTGTCTTCATAACGATGCTTTCCCGTTAGTATTCCACCTGCAAGCTATATTAACACCAAAACAAGAAATTACAAGAGGGCGCTGTCAGACTGTTCTGGAAAGACTTAACAATTGCCAAGTTTCGCCACACAAGAATTAATCAAGTTACCTACCGGGTTGTACGCATAAAAAGCCAAACCAAATTTTCTCAGGCAAGGAAAAAGTTCTCTTTCAATATCCCTGAAACAATAATAAGACATTCTTTTGAGAAAGATACTTCTAGTATTAAAGTGTCAACAACAAAAGGAAAGCTGAGACAAACACTAAACTAGATTCTTCCGGATTTTACTTAGCATTTTGGTCAAAATCATTGTACGAATCACATTTAAAGAATCTACTTCTTTTTTGAACTTTCTGTTCACGCTATGGCTATGAAAAACATAAAAAAATCAACGTTTCGTTATTCTGTCGAATTTGACTGAAAATATCACGTCCTTAGCAAGCTAGTCTTAAGATTCATGACACCCCAACCTTGTGACAGAATTGTACATCCCTTGATACACTGTTGGTCGAAGATAGTCCTTCGTCTTACAAAGGTAATAAATTTCTGCCTGAAAGAAAGGCCGTACGCATATGCACATTCGTCAGTTCCAGTTGCAGCTAAGGTAACACAAAAATTGATGTCGATCTCAAAATGCAGGAAATGCCATCAGACAGGCCCATGTTTAAAAAAAAGGCATTTTCAGGGCTAGCACGCCCTGGAAGCTAATGCCCCTAGAGTGACTGTGGTCACCTCTGCCAAATCTACCTTTCCTTTTATCCTAAAGGGTTGGAATCTCTGAAAATGTCAAACTGATGCGTTCCGAAATTTATACCACCACTAAAACCATGAAATAGATGTTTCACAATAATTTTGTTGCAATCAAGTACCATTTATAATCCGTACCACACTACAAATCACAACCCCCTTGGATATAATTCTGATATGTTTTGCATATTTTTTGCTATGATTCAACAAATAATGGATAAGTTTCATTTAACTCCATTTTATTTCAATTCTCATTCCTCACTTTTGACAACAATGCAACAATCTACAGCTGTAATATCACTTACCACTTCCCATGCAGCATAATTGGAAAGTCCAAAAGCTTTAAATTTTCCCTCTGAAATTTCAAAAACCAAGTGAGTATTTTTACAAGTCAAACTCGTAATGAGTAACAGCAAATTTTCATTGATTGAAACACTTCCTAAATGATTACTCCCAACACACGAAGAGTTGTAATGTGATGAGACAAAATAAGGCCATAGGTGGAAACTTTCCACTGGTGGCCACCTCTTAACATGGATGCCTTTCAAAGCTGCTTTCTGTTATATAAGAACCTATTAAAAATGGCCATTGTTTATGCATAGAAACAGGGCTCGAATTTAATTTTTGGATCACTAGGAAACTTTATTTTTGTTTTTAAATGTACAATTGTAAATCTCACTACGTATAGGCAATTTACAAATGCTGCTTGAGATTGGCTTATTCAACACACACACAAAAATCAAAATTGCATCAAATCTGGGTTGTCCCAATTCCTATTTCTTCAACAAAAGACGTAATATGTTGCTCTAATAGCTAATAATAATAATAATAATAATACTTATATAGCGCTTATCCAGACCTGATCTAAGCGCTTTACAAAACAGAAATATATATATTGAATTAATTTTTAAAAGTAAGTCTTAAGTTTACATTAACAGAGATTTAAATATTCACAAAAAACGGGTGTCTAAGATCTAGGTGCTAGACATGGATTAAAAGAGAATTCATACATATTAAAAATATTTTTAAAAAGATATGTCTCAAGTTTACGTTTAAAGAGATTTAAATTGTCATAAGAACAAATGTCATCAGGTAGTTTGTTCCACAGTTCAGGAGCCGAAACAGCAAAAGATCTTGAGCCATAAGACTCGAGATTAAAGTTGACAGGACACAGGCGAAATGTTGAAGATGACCAGAGCGTTCTTGAAGGTGAATAACGACGTATCAGGTCTTGAATATAGATAGGAGACTACTGGCGAAGAGCTTTGTGGGTGAGCAGAATTATTTTGAATTTAATTCGCTCGGAAACTGGAAGCCAGTGCAGGTCGAATAAATTATAAAGTTTGGTATCCAAGCTCACAAGTTACGATATCTCAAATATTGAACATTTTGACAATAACGACTAGGACAAATTAAAGAGTAGCTGAAATTGCATGGTGACCTTAAAAATGTTGACAGTTATGCACCTTTTTTTATTTCCCTCTTGTTTACCATGATTAGTCAAGGACAGTACATCTACAGCACATTCTCTAAAAAGAGTTTCAGTTGATTAAACAACTTGAGTATTCTAAGTATTCCTCTGAGTCAAGTCTACATGCTCTTTGTCCAGAGGTCTACCAATATTTAAATATGTTGGAAAATTTTTACTGACCATGTCGGGTTAGTTGGACACATTTTTAGAAACCAAATGTTGAAAATTACTAACCATTGGTTAACGGGTTACCATTAATTTCGAGCCCTGTAGAAAGTTTTAAAAGGAGTCACCTCATAGAAGAATACACTTCATAGATGGAGAGCTCTTGAAAGGGTCTTCTCTTTTGCATGGATATCTCTCAGATATTCTATAGACTCCTTGTGCCTGGGCACCCCTTGTGGCTAAATACCTTGTGGCATTTCCTGACAAGGGAAATGTAGGAAACAAATCCAACATAGGGATACTTGCCCCAAGATCTGTTTTCCTTAAAGGGTCATCTCCATACATGTCTCTTAGACTGATCCAGTGTAAATCATTTACCTTTATAAAGTTGATTGACAGCTTCCAGTGTCTCCTCGATGGGTGTGTTATGGTCTGGTGCATGGAGGTAAAATAAGTCCACAGAGTCTCTTTTCAAACTTCTGAGGGATTTATTTAGTTGTTCCAGCACACTGTCATACTTCAAATCTTGGGGGGAAAACGTATGACATCAGAAGAGACATTCAAGTCTACAAATAGTTTTACTTCATAAATTAGATAACTGCTTAATTACATTTGTCTATTGGTATGTATTCTCATAAATTGTAATTTCACAGAAATCCAAAGTAAACTAGCTCACACACAAAAAGACATCGCAAACCTTTTCCATTCCAGGGATTAGCTTTCGTGGCAATAAATACCTAATGAAATTTATGCTTAATTAGACACTGAAAAATCACTTAATTAGACACTGAAAAAAAGTGTGAAAATTAAAGAAAAAATGGTTTCCATTGTTAATGCTGCACTGTCTTAAATTTAACTGGAGCAGGATGCAACTGTGATGGCTTCATACTTAGATAGCAGCCAGTGTCAGTGAGCATCAAATTTTGAATCATGAGTAAGGGGGGATGGTAAATGGGCACTATATCCTGCCCATAACGGGGATGGTAAATGAGCACTGTATCCTGCCTGGGGTGGGGAGGGTAAATGAGCACTATATCCTGCCTGGGGTGGGGAGGGTAAATGAGCACTGTATCCTGCCTGGGGTGGGGAGGGTAAATGAGCACTGTATCCTGCCTGGGGTGGGGAGGGTAAATGAGCACTGTATTCAGCCTGCCTGCCCCCTTAATCCTCATAATTTTGGGCAATAACAGAGACTTCTGTATCCTGTGACCCATTATTGCCAATCATCAATAGCATTAAAATGTATATTTTTAGAGTGTGTGTCTGTTTTCTATTCATTTTACAAAATGATGAATGTGATTTAAATATTGCCAAGAAACACAATAATAATACTACTCTAGTGATTCATTATTTACCTTGGGATCTCTCAGATTATCTAAATTTCCCATAACCTCCTCACTCTTTCCACCAGCATACCTTTCAAAGGTCAAGCCAAAGGTTAGACTACTAGTCGAGTAAATATCTTCAAGTTCCCCTGACCAAATGATCTTAGCTGTGTCTAAATAAAAGGACTTGCATTTGGGCTTATCACAGATAATTTTACACTAGTACTCATTTGTCTCTTGGAAGTTCAAAACTGAGAGCCTGTATACTCCAATAGGAACAGTGGAGACCAGGGGAGTGTGTGCCCCCATCCCCCTCCCCTTTAAACTGAACAAGGAGCAATTACCGGTACTTATTTTAAGACCAATTCTCATGGTCTTAAAATAAGTGAGGAGAATTTGCTACCTTTCTATAATCAAGAAATGGATTGATATTCTAGTCTTCTTGGATAAGGTTGAATAAACCGTAGGCTCCATCTCCTGTAGGGATAGGGGTAGCTAGGAGATGTTAATTTCCCATGCACGAGATTATTGTGTTGTGGATGTCCTCCTCTGGGGTGAGATGGGTGGGAATTGGCCCTGAAAAGCCCCCATGGGGAGTGGTAAACTAAACTATATATGTATATGTAAGGAGTTCTCTTCCACTACTAAGGCAGGTCAGAACAAATAATGTTGCACATATTTTTAAAAAAATACAATGTACATACATAAAAGACGATGTAAATTTGCTTTTAAATTTCACGGAGCTAAAATAGATACTTACATGAGAGCTGTGTCAAAACTATAAATCCCATTTTCCATACATATTTTTACAAACTCATTCTCCTGTGGGTAGAGAAATAGTTGACGCATTACCTAACTAATTCGAATCACGATGTCCTTAATGTAACTTACATTTTACATAACTTGATCAAGTTTTCTGTTTTTAAGAAACATTTTTCACTAAATTTTTTCATTTCCTACTTTTCCTAAGGTGTGCTCCTTTCCTAACTCTGAGCATCCAATCGCTGTCTTTGGAGGAACCACGGCCATTACTGAAGAAGCTACAAAATAATATGGGTCAGTATCCTGTCTTAATCCCAAAGGCTTGAGTTTTTGAGGAGAGGAATCAACGCAAATTAATTTTCAGCAAGCCTGCTGACTACAACTTGATTACTACAAGAGGACTACGGAAGGCAAATAGTCAGCTCTCGTGATGACGTTGTTCTGCTTCGGTCCCATAGAAGAGCCTCTCTATAGGTATTTCCGGAGAAATCGAAGACGCGAAGATCAACGCGTTAAAAATAGACAGAGCTGAATAACGCATACGCATGCGCCAGGTTTTGCCGGGGAAACACGGAGTTCGCATGGTTGATTTCCTATTCTGTTGCTTCGAGGCGTCGTTTTCCTTGCCGCTTTGCTTTAACAGAACAATCTCCAAAAACCTGGTACACCTCCTAAAAATTTTCAAACATTAATTTTCTCCTTAAAACCTATGGAAATAGGAAAATTCCTTCGACGAAAACAGAGTTCCTTGGTTTAAAAGTCAGCCCACATTACTTTCCGCTATCAGTTTGCTAAATTTTAGACCCAGGACACTTGAGCCCGCGTTGTTGACCGCATACCCTCTGACTTAAGCATTTCATTATTCAGCTCTGTCGAAAAAACGAAGATCTCAGGATTAAGGCGAAGATCTGAAAATTGACCAAAATTTGCGTGATCAAATTGAACACTGAGATATAAAACTATCAAAACTCGTAAACACTACAGAAAATATCTGTTCTGTTATTTCTGAATCTTGGCATTTGACCACATTTCACTGCGACATTGACAACGGTACAGTGTCAACAGTGGTTTACAGTCGCTGCCGCGAAACCACATGATGTCATTACAAGGCTGAAAACGACAGAAATAGTCCACTGATAATGCAATCGTTAATGACATTAATGACGTCGACGAGAACCCACTACCAGCCGGAAAAATGTTTTATCGAATGCAGATTTTTTTTTTTATCAAATGAAAATATATTTTATCGAATGGAAATACATATTTTAGCCCATGAAAATATTTCATCGAGTAAAAATATATTTTTTATCGAATTAAAATACTTGAATCGAATGCAAACATATTTTTATTGAACGAAAATAATTCTTATTCAATTTTGCCACATTTCGGCAACCATAGCCATTAAATATTTCCTCAATGCGTTTCCGAACATCAGCGACTTCACATTGCCTCACTGGATTCCTCTTAGGAAAGTCCATACTGTTGTAGTCTTCTTAGCAGGGAACTGTAGTTGATAGAGTGGTCATGGTACCTCTTAAGAAACTGGATTATTTCCTGATACTCAAAGCCCCTGTAGAAATAATATTTGATCACTTCCTCTTCGTTAAATTCCACCTCACTCTCTGTGTTCAAATCTAATGCATCCTCTTGGACCTCTGTACAGTTAAGTAAATAGCCTACAGTTAAAATTGACTGTACTTTGTTAACAGTACCATTCATGTAAGCAAAGATTGTGGAGGGGTTTAAAGATCTCACTTCTTGGGTTTTGAAAGGGAGCCTACCTAGCTGATGTTTTATTAAGAGGTTCAAAAGGTTTTTTTCTCTCTTCCTGAGCACTGCATTTGGGAGCGAAACAAATAAAGTAAAGTGAGTCGTGGATCAATAACAAATTTCAAACCAATGAGATATATTAAATTGATCAATTTGTCATAGAGGTACTCAGTGATCTGTGTTGCTATGGCAAAGCTAACGGTTGCTTAAAAATCTGAAGTTCTTGAATTCCTCCCTGAGTTTTCTCACATTTGGCGTGAAGCCCTTCCCCTGTACGTCTATTCAATACATAGACTTTCTCAAAGTCCGTTTTTGTGAGAGTCCAGTGGGGCGGAATACGGTCGTTTCCTCGCGATTTCGTCGCTCGTTCCTTGCGACTACGTCAAGCATAAAAAGAAGACTTGGGGCAAGTCTAATTCAATACATTACACCTCACAGTGCACAAGCAAACATCCGTCTATAAAGTACGAAAGCCGAGAAGGGACTTCAGACTTCAGACTTCAGACTTAATAAATGTGACTGGAGAGTTGAAGAGATTTGGATTTAAGCCTTCACAGTTCACGAAATTAGACTCCAGACTTCAGAATTCTGTCCTCAGTCTTCCAAACGTGAAAAAAACATTTGGAATCCGTCAGTGTGCGTCATCATGTTTCGGTAAGTGAGTGTCCCTGATCCTTAATTTTTTTAATCATTCTATTTAAGACGCGAGTGAATGGTACTTTAATTAACGTTTACTGTGTTCTGAAACAGGTTGCCTCATCTTATCTTCCTTCTAAACACGCTATGTCTAGTGCAGAGCGTTTTACCTGTCTACACACCTGCTCTAAACAAACACTCTGGATTTGAGAGAGAAAATGCAGTCAGACGCTACTTCTCTCAAGGTTTTACCAACGCTGAAATTACTGGCTTTTTAGCTTTACAACATGGCATAGTACTCTTAGTGCGTACTTTAAAACGAACAACATTTGGGACTTAAAAAGGCGAGATACAACAACGAATCGCCCCTTGAGAGAATAGTGGCTGCTATTCTGGAAGAATTGTAGAACTCGTGTGGTTCCTTTCTGGGCTATCGTCAACTGACGAGGCGCTTAAGGCGAAAGTACAATTTGCAAGTAAGAAGAGATACTGTTATGAAATCCCTTCGGGTTTTAGACCCTGAAGGAGTGGAGCGTCGTCAAAGACGTAGGCTAAAGAGACGAAGATACGTCATCCCAGGGCCAAACTTCTTATGGCATGTTGACGGATGGGATAAGCTTGCGCCCTTTGGCTTTTTCGTTCATGGCGCATGCAGTAGACGGCTTCTCAAGGCGAATTCTTTGGTTAGAAGTCGGTTCCACGAACAAAAATCCCAGGGTTATTGCCTCAAACTACCTAAATGCTATTCTACAACTTGGAGGGGTTCCAAGAAGGATGCGCTGTGACAGGGGAACCGAAAACACAATCATTGGCACTCTTCAACAATTTTTTCGT